TAGAAAAGGATTCAAATATTTTTATAAAATTTTTGGCAATTTTTTAAAAGTCAGAAACTATTTTAAAACTAACTAAAATTGTTCAAACAAATAGAAAATATATCAAAAATAGCAAACATCAATATAGAATTTCATAAAATTTTTAAAAAGTCAGAAATATGCAAAATGATATTTAGGAAATTTTTTAAAATTAAAAAATGTCAGAAAATATTTTTAAGGTAATTAAAACAAAGCAAATAATGCAAAAAATATCAATTTTCAAAATAAAAATATGAAAAAATATTCATGAGACTAGAAATAATTCAAAGTATTTTTGTGAATTTTTTCATAATTTTTGGATAAAAAATAAAAGAGTTGTGAATTTTTGAAAATTAAATCAATTAAAATATAAAATCAGAAAATAAAATAAAACCAAAAAGATATGGGCCATCAGATCATAGTCAAAACGCGCTAGTAAGTTAATCCAATGGACCAGATGCGTTGTGCTTGATATGGACCTTAGTGAGATACGCACAGGATCAGAAAAAGGGCAACCAATGAAATTAAAACGTTTGGCACGCTATCATTGGCTGAGACGAGACATGTCATCATCTTCAACCTCCAGCCACCCTGCAATAGAGATTTTGTGAGATCTTTCAAACAGTAAAATTAGGATCACATACCAGTATCATTGGATTCGTCTCTTCAAGACGATCCTAACACCACCATCGCGCCAAATTTATACAAAGTGTACAAAGAGATATGAATCAAAAATCCAAAAAGTAGCGAGCACTTTCAATTTGAGATTTCTCTCTCAATTCTCAATGGATTTAAAAATTGTAAGAAGCACTAGAATCAGGAGAAGGAGTAGAACAAGTTAGTGCTTTATTTGGATCCAAATGGTGGAGAATTCTACCTTTTCGAAGTTCGAGAAAGAAGCTATGAAACTGGACTTCTGTAGCTTGAATTATAGCTCGTTTTGCTTGGTTTAAGTGCTGGAGAATTTGTATGATGCTTAAGGAAGATGGACGTGCAAAGAATTTTGGAGAAAAAGGTTGGAATCTCATAAACTGATTTCAAAATTTTCAAGTTCGTATGAGGCTTTGACAAAGTGTTTTTTGCTCTCAAAGCTTGAGGAAATGAATGGGGGATGATCCTCTATTTATAGGAAATCAAATGGAATGTTCAAGCGTGTGAAATGATGAAGTTTGGAGGGAAATCGTGTGAACCTGATGCACGAGCAAAGTGTGATCTGATTTCCATCAAAACTCATCCAATGCTTGTGTTTTAAGGCAATAATCCATTTTGGCAACTTGGTTAAACATGTTTAGATCATAAACGTGTGATAATTTGATGTTTAGAGGCTAAAACGTTAATTTCAAATTCTGACTTATGAAGAAACTTCAGTTTCAAGTTAGCAAGTTTAATTCAATGGCATTCTCAGCTCAAGGGGTCTTAAGGCGTGATTCTTGATGCTTTAGAAAGATGAGGTTACAAGCTTTGCAATGGAAAAAAATGGAATCAAATGGATGTTTGAGCTGAAAGTTTCATTGAGTCAAAGTTGTGGAAAAAAGGTTGACTTTCCATACTTAAAAATATTTCAAATTTTTCTTCAAAATTGACCTATAATATTTTGCATCCAAACATGGCCTTCCACTTGGAATTTGCTCTTGACCAATAAAGATGGCATGAAATAGACCTCTTAAATGACATTTTGAAACTTGAACCATTCAAAATATCCAAAAATTGAGAGAGTTATGAATTGTTGAAGTTGGCAAAAAATCATGAAATGACCTATAATCTTTTGTATCCTTATGGCATCTTCCATCCATTTTCTCACTTTGCACATAAAAGAAGGAATAAAGTTCACATCCTCAATATCATTATGGAAAAAGAGTGGGCTCAAGGTGATAAAAATTGACCAAGTTATGATCATTTGAAGTCACACAAGAGAAATTGGGGGTTCATCTGGAAGACTTGTAATCTTTCTCCATCATCAAGTTTCTTCCACGTGAAAACTCCTTGAAACTTTTGAAGTGACTTGTTAATAATACTTTGAAGAGAAGGATGTCTTTGGAATCACTCAAGAATATCAAAAGATGAGCAAGATATACTTCTTTGAAGTTCAAAACCCTAGCTCCTAGATCAAGAAAATACTTTGAGGAACCTTGACAAATTTGAATCACTTTATTGTACCAACACCCTTGCTTTGTAAATAGTAGTTGTTGAGGATGAAAATGAGAACTCATAGCCACCAAAACCACTTCCATATCTTAAGAATTGAGAGAAATATGCACTTGTGATCAATGGGAACAAGACCTTGTCCAACCATGACAACTTCTTCAATCAATCCCTTGCACTTTTGAATCAATTTTGATATCTTGGAAATGTAGTGAACCAAAATGACCTTGCCATGTAATCCCTTCAAAAACAACTTCAATAGTGAGGTTTGGACTTCTCAAGCTTTATTTCCTAGGACATGGAAATAAACTCATGAACCCATGGAGCAACTTGCTAAATCTCATTGCCTTTACCTACATTAGTAACAAGCAAGACAAACTAACATTGTATTTTATTAATTAAAAGGAAAAATCAAGATAAAATATTCATGATCACAAAAGAAAACAATTCAAGGTACTTGGTGATTCCTCAAAGAGCAAAGCTAAAGGTAGGGAGGAGAACCAAGAATCCTAATGTGATCTTGTTGTGATTGAATCAATATGGTATGATGAAGAGATCTTAAGGACAAAAATTGAGGTACAACATTGTCGACACATAGACATGTTTTCATGTAAAAACTCATTTTTAATGCATGATATATTTTCTAAACATATTCTAAATGCATTCTAAGATCCCTAATGCAAAGGTACACATAAAAACTCAGAGATGTTCAATATATAAAAATGCTAAGGTTATCATAGTTTTGACATCATGCAAAACATCTAATGGACAAATGAATTCACAATAATTGTCGCACCAAATTCCATTGAGGGTCACAATTACAACCATTATCAAGAGAAGGGTAGTTTGACTTGAAGATCCTTGGAACAAACCATAACTTTGTTGCGCTGACCAAGTTTTGGGGGACTACTGTTTCAGTCTGGGTCAAGGTCCAAACTATTCAATATTGAGTTACCATGTTGGGGGAGTTTCCTATCAGAACACCTGATCAAGACGATTGAAGTCTGTCAACTTTCATATGAGGAAATTGTCTCCACAAAAGGATCTAAAATCACATAATCATGAAATGGTCACACCATAGCAATGAACTAGATCAAGATTGGTTGAACACTTGAGGAACATCAGATGATAAGGATAATTAGGTCTTCTAACACATATAATTCGACTATAAATAATAATAAGCAATTGAGACACATGTACATATTATTCTAAACCTTAAACCTTTCACTTATTGATATCATTAACTTAATCGTCAAGGTGTTTACAAGTACACCCCCACCACCAAACATATTCACCAAGATCCTCTGTATCGAATTTCATTCTTCTAATACTTGTGTTCTCCATGCACAATATTAAAACTTCATAGACATATGCTCAAATAATAAGTTCTCAATCAAAATTTATACTTGTATCTTGATGTTTCAATTTCTTCTTGTACTGTTTATACTTACCACTTCTTTCACTTTTTCCATCTATGTCTGGTTTTGAAATAACAATAATAAATCTTAACTTCTCCGCTTTATCTTGAACTCATGTCAACAGCTCATCTCATGAAGTAAATTTTTTCGATCGTGAATTGTAGGCATCAATCAAAATAATAGTCAACTAAGGTATAATATCAACTTTCACATTGACGGGAGAATTATGAGGTGCATTCATATACAAAATAATACAAACCAATTTAAAAAACTGAATTGCTTCAATAAATACATATTTTTGAATTATAAGATTTGAATGCATGTCTTGGACTTGTTTTTGTTCGAAATGTAGAATCCAAACATGCATCATATGCATGCTCGTACTCTACAATCTAAACCATACCAATACAAACACCAACAGAATGAAAATGCTAAAAAAAAATGCTAAAGATTGAGTCATAACCTTTGCATTAAAACAAAAATGTTGTGTGTGAAGTGTGTTAATAATTTGATTGCCATTTAGAAACAAGATTATGTGTATATGATATTTTTGGTACCAAGTCCGAATTCACACGCATGTTTCGCCTAACAATCTTGACAGTTCCGTCTAAAGCACTTTATTTATAGAATCAACTCATATCATAGAATCAAACTATAAAATATGTATGCAAAATGTCATATGCAAAGGTACACGTAACTTTTTCCAATAGGTGACATTTCTTAAATGTTTAACTTCTTATGCAAACAATAGCTTCACCACGGAAATCACTTGTAGCATTTACCAAGCAATGTGGCTCACAAACAGGGTCGTCACCGTCTTTGAGAGCATGCAAGGCAAACTACTTAAGACCTCAGAAAATGTTTGTCACGGTTAAACTATAGTTAAATAGAATCTCTCTATTTTCTCATGGTTAAATTGTGACTAATTACACGGTGCCTCCGAAAAATTGAGATGACTGCTCACAAAGATGACAAATTATGTGAAAACAAACAATTTAATAGATGTAAAGATAGAACAATTTCAATACACAATACTACTATAACTTACACATACTATGCAATAACTTGCCAAATCACCCAGAAGTTTAGTGATATCCTAAGGCTAAATGCTGTTTTACATAAAACCAAGTTTTAAGAAAAACAATAATTCTTGAAATTCCTTGTTTCATTGAAACATGTGTATAAAGCTTTGATCGTGGTTTATTCGGAACTTTGATGTTTCAGCACACTTTAAGGGTTCATGCGCAGGCCTGAAATCATGTTTCCCAGATACAACTTCGCCGTGTTCGGTATGCTTGCTCAGACAATTCTATTAAAGAAACCGAGTGGGGTTAACTGATGCTAAATCAGAAACAATTCAAAAAATTTCTGACAAAAATAAACAAGTATGAATATTACCGTATAGATGTCGGTTAGAAACCATCATGATTGATCTTCGCTGGACCTTGTCCTGTTCAAACGTCGGCGCCTCCTTGGAACATGCGAAGCATCTTCAACCAGTTCGTTAAATATTCGCAGATCTTCTTCGACTTCATTATCTTGCAGACCCAACAAATTCTCACCCCACAGATACCGACGACGGTCAGATGAACGGCGATGATGCCTTGACCATGTATTTGAAGAACGAGGTCTAGGTTCCCTTACAATTTCAATGGTGCTATCCATCATTTGGAACAAGATGGTAGTAGTGGTTAACCAAGATCCATTACCATTGCCATTGTTAGCATCCCTATCAGCACCTGATAACCTACCAATACCGTCTCCGTTTTCGAGAACATAATCCCCGACGACAACAGCTCCTGGTATAGCAGACTGAATAGCACTCACGATATCACCGTATTCTCGCTGACGCTCAAACTGTTGCCACGCTTGTTCCCTTGTCGGATCAACGTTAGAGGGACGAGAAGTAGGATGAACTCTCCTAGCATGCCGACGCAATTCAAGATAATCTCCAGCAAACGAACATGAATCCCTTGAGCAACTTCTCTTCTTCATGTTCAGATAATTTCTAGCCTCTTCAACAACCTCCCAGCTTAATACCGTACCTCTACATAGAGGACACTGCAAACTCGATTTCGAGTCCTCGGACGAATTATCTACTGCTAAATCCTCCTCAAGAACAGCCCTGTCCTGCAAGTTCTCAGAATCAACAGTTTCTAAAATGCCTTCATCATGTTGGTTTAAATGTCTACTTGGATCTTGGGCATCACCCGGTCTCGATCCTTGTGGAATTCCAACAGACAATAGAGTGTTAAATTCATTTTGGAAGAGTTCATTAACATTACGCATGTCAGATTGCATAGTAAAGTTAATATCAAAACTATTACCAGAAGAGTTGTTAGTGTTTATTAAAGAACTTGGTAAATCCGGGTTCTCCGTAGAGTTGTCCCTCATTTTTTTAAATCGGTCCAGACAATTTGAATGCCTATAACTTGTATCACAGACGTAAGATCTGCAGCCCTTATCGTGAGAGCTGCAAAGTAGGAGAACAGCATTATGTGGATGGTCCATGCAGATAGGACATGAAACTTCATCCAATTCTTTGTGAAGAGCATGGATATCTGAATCACTACATAATCTTCGCTTAAAACCAGCCATCTTCCTCGAACCGTGTTAACTACTCAACATATTAAACTCATTAGAAAACCATTGTTTTCATAACAAGACAGCATGCACATAAATGTTCTGACATAAAAGCAAAATACAGGTCTAAACATAAATATATAGAGAAAGAAAATGAACGTGTAAAAAATTAGAGAACTTGAATAACTCGAACCGAGATTCAGAGCTGGCAATTCAAAAGGAAAAGAGTGGCACGGGAATAAGGACACGGGGATAGCAAATTGTTGTGGATCAGTTGCTTTATAAACTTACCAAGACAATAAGCTCTAGCTATATTCCCTACCAGAGGATTCTGAATCTCGGTTTGTAACTATAGGACCTTTACTTGACTTCACAAAAGAATCACAGGAAATCACTTAAGCAACGCTCCAAAGTACGATATAAATAAGGAATCAATGTACATTACAATCTTGGACATATGTAATTTTATCGAACACTTCTGTACAACAGAATCACCGACAAGCCATAAAGTCTGCAGGTATACCATCAAAAAAGGAAGAAAAAGACTCTGTTAAATAAAACAATATTTCAAAAAAATCATCATCAGTTGAATTTAAAATAGCAGTTAAAGATATATCTGTCGATAGAGAGAAATAAGCACACTACAATCTATCTGATCCATAAATTCAATTCAACGCTTTTTTTCGGAGAAGACTATTGGCAGTGTTTTCTATTCTAAGATGTTCATTGGTGAATCTGCTACTATACTAACTATATCACAACATAGATGGTTTCCGTGATTAATGAATCCCTAAGATCATATAAAGCAATAGCTGTCTGTATCAATGCAATTCAACCTATGAGAGGATAAAATTCAAACTGACACTCACAACAGGAAACTCTAGAATCAGCAATTCAGCATAGATTTATGGAGATCATTCACTGAGATAAATGGGAAAATGAGAATTCGTCTAATTATCAGTGATGTTCATGGGCGCATGGCGGTCTATGGCTGTAGGCCAGAAATCTGCCATATAAACACACTATTGCTGTCTATGGCGCCACCATGGCAGGCATCCCTTCACCAATTGGCTGTGGCGGTAATCAAAAAACCCGCCATGGCAGCCCCATGACTGCCATTTAACAACACTGCAAGTATTTAAGTAAAAAATTACAAGAAAACTAGGCAAAATAGAAAACAATAAACACAAGGACTTCGATGTGTTATTGTTACAACTCTTCAAAGATGTCATATCATAGGTCGCAAGTTAGACTTATGTCTTATCCAGCATCTCCGTTTTGTTGGTTTCGGACAGGAAAGGGGAATTTATCAGTGAATTGGTAGATTTGGAAGTTAAGGCAACAACTTATAGCAGTGATAATAGCCATAAAATTGTAGGGATATCAAGGTATCCAGGATTTCTTCCTGCCCAACACCATCACAAACAACAACAACAACAACAACAACAACCAAGTATTATATGATTATATCACTAAGTGGAGTCGGCTACATGGATCAACTTCCGCCATAATGTTCTATCCAATAATGTACTTCTATCCAGATCATTAATCTCAAGATCTTTCTTAATAACTTCTCTTATAGTTTTTCTAAGTCTTCCTCTACCTCTAACTGTTTGACTCCTCTCCATTTGATCTACTCTCTTTATCACATAATCTATGAGTCTCCTATCTACACGCCGATAAAATTAGGCAAGCATTCATTCCTATTAGTGTAACAAGTTTGTTTCTTTAGACATGTAGCAAAGGACAAATATTAAGTAGAAACAACATAGCAATATTTACTCTTCCATATAGCAATAGCAACCCAAAAAATTCTTGTTCTGAAACTCCTCATAACAAATAGGGGATAACTAATTAGTCCAAACAAGCCATCTATGATAATAAAGCAAACTATACATGATATCTAGGCAAAAAAAAATCAAATTTTCAATTATAGAACATTCAAATCACACCCTATTCAATCATCACCAAATAAACACAACTTAGAATCAACTAGAATCATGAAATGCAAAAGAAATCCCAAAAGAGAATATCATCCATGCAACCAAACACAAGATCAACAACCAATCACCACACAAATAAATAAAAAAACAAACCCTAAATTAACCCCCCAAAAACCAAACCCTACAGAAAAATCAAATCATATAATTTTTTATAAAAATTAAAATTAAGAACAAAAAATCATCCAATTGAAAGATCAAGATCAAACCCCAATTAGATCCAAAAATATAAATTGCAGAAAAAATAAATAAAAATCAGAACTGAAGGAAGGGATTTACAAAGGGTGTTGAATTTAATTATTTTTAATATTATTTTTTGCCCTTCTTTCTTCTGGGTTGGTCTCTGCAAAAGATCCCAAGGATGTAGAGAAGAAACAAGACACGGAAGGAAATCGGATTTCCAAAATAAACGGTTTTTTTTTTTTATGTTTATATATATGGTAGGGAATGGAGAATAAATAAACAGATGATAAGGGAGTGTTTGTTATGGTTTTTATTTTAATGGTAAGATGAAAATGCACTATGAACCTATCAAACAAGATCATGGTTTTTTGTGCCAAACAAAATGGGCTAAATAGGAAAACTTAAGCCAATACAAAAAATTAGGGTTATTTGCGATGCGGTTTTGACGGTTTTTACGCAGTCATCTGAATTGTAAGAGAAAAAATTATGTGATTCGGTTTAGTTTGGTTGATTTTTAAAAATAAAGCCGAACTAAAACAAATCAAATCAAATCAAAATAATGCGATTTGAGTTGATTTGATTTTTTATAATATTTTTATTGAGATATACATATACATAGAGAATAACATAATTTTGTATTTAATCATTCATACATTACCAAATAATAAATAATAATGTTAAGAATATAAAAGGTGGGATAAAAATGAGATTTAAAAAGAGAATAATAACATGAAATGAGAAGATGAAAAGGAAAGAACATAAGAGATGAGAGATTAAAGAAAAATAACATGTACCTTGCGAAGAAGATGAAAAGAAGACACAATATTGTTAGGAGAGATTAGAGAATGCTTAAACTAAAACTCTAAGTGTGAGGAGTGTTGGGGGGAGATACTAGGAGCATTGATACATAGTGTAGGAATAAGCACATTTGTGAGAGGCACACCACTTATCCACCTAAAACCTTAAGGTGATAGGTGAGTGAGTTCTCTCACTTATATATACTTATTCCAACACTCTCACTTAAGTGTGAGTCCATAATGCTCCCCAACTTTTTCGGTCCCTTCCTCGAACCTGGCTCTGATACCATTTGTTGGGGAGAGATACTAGGAGCATTGATACATAGTGTAAGACTAAGCACCTTTGTGAGAGACACACCACTTATTCACGTAAAACCTTAAGGTGATAGGTGAGTGGGTTCTCCCACTTATATATGCTCAAGTCTCCACATTCCTATCCAATGTGGGACTATTTCCCCACTTACTCACACTTGCTATATTATTTCAACAAGGAGGAGAAAATTGTTCATAATCGTAAGGGTAAGGCATAATGGGTTGGGTTTAGGTTGGATGTGGGTTAAGTGAAGTTTGGGTTGTAAAATAATGTGGTTTATTTTGGTTTGATTCAGTTTGCAAAATACAAACCACAAACTGAATCAAACCGCACGGTTCTATTAAAAAATAATCAAAATGCATTCGAACCAAATGTAGTTTTGACTCTTTTTGGTTTATTTTGGTTCGGTTAGCGGTTTTCTATTGAGCCAATTTAATTTTGAGCATCCCTAGAATACGGGAATTCTTCGTAACACTTCATGCCTTACTCATCCACCTTGACAAAATTTCAGAAATACACTCAAAATCTGAATTTTGAAATTCAGGCTTACCAAAACACACGCCAAATACATGTAAAAAATGTGAATTTCAAACTCTTGACGCACCCCAACATATCACAATAACCTCTAAACCACGGCCAAATCAAAATTAAAAATTTATATGGCTTTTAAAATCTGGATTCAACTTATGAATATTGAACTTCTGAAGCATTCATTTAAGTAATTGTACATTGTCTTTGCCTTAAATTTGAAACCAAATAAACCAGTGTAGAACATAGCTCTCACCAATGTTTATTCTTGTTTCAACATTGCTCTAATATTTCTCTCGTGTTCTATTCATGTTCGTTCAAACCTAGAAACTTTATTAATTTCTACTTCTCTTCATTCAAGCTAAGCACTTTCATCTCTCACATTTGATAAATTTCTCATATCCTTGATTTTTTTATTTGAGATTAATGCAATTATTTAATAGGTTATAGTGATGCAATATTTGGATATATCCAATAGAGATGTAATACTTGTTTGGTCCTAATTAGTTTTGGTATGAATTTAGGACACTTAAGATTTAGGGTATCTTTATGAACGGGTTCTCTCTGATGCGTGTAGTCCGGATTTTGAAATTCAGACCTTTTGTCCGGATAACAAAATTTAAATTCTTTGTTTTTCCTTCTGTTTTTTCATTTTGTTTGCTAATACATTATTTCCGCTTATTTGATTATGATATTCCTTTTCTCATTTTATCATAGAAAACATAGTTAATGAACAACATATATACATACATGGTCGAGTGGCCCAACGTGCTTCAATGCACAGGGAGAAAGGTTGCTTCGTCTTGAAGTAATCCTACATAACATGAATCTAATAGGTAACACGGTGCACTCAAGAAGAATTCGAACAATCATACCTAAGTAGGACGTATTGTTGTACCCCAAAATTTTCCCTCCCATGTTTCTCAAGACATGTCAAGAATAATCTTCAAAGTTGCTCAAGTTGGCTCAAGGGTTGGACAGTCAAGTCACCTCCTAAGGCAGTCAAGTCAAAATTAGGGTTTTGTGTTGCATCAAGGTCCTCACATCCAAATGACCTCAAGTATTCCCCAATGTCCTAATATGTTCTTAAGTTCATCCATGTCAAATTTTAAGCCTTGCAGAGGAAGTTTGGTCAGTCAATTGCTCAAGAGACCCAAAAGTCGAATGTGCTAGGGCAAAAGTCAATTGTGTCCCAAATACAGTCAAACCTCAAGATTTTTTGTCAACATTCTCATTTTGAAGGATAACTCATCATTTGATCAAGGGTTGATCATGATTCATCAAGGATTGCTCAAGATTCCTCAAGATTCAAAAATTGCTAAATTAGGATTTTGTAGGAAAAGTCAACTCAACTTTGACCAAGCATAACTTTCTCATACTTTATGATAAATGACCCATACAAAGCTCATTTTGAAGAGGATGAAATTTCCTACAATCCATATTCACATCCCAAGATCAATAAATGCTCTCACAAAAAGTTACAAATTTGGACATTATAGGTCATTTTTGAAAGTCAACAAAAACACCTTTTTTGCCAAAGCTTATAACTTGAGCATGGAACATAAAAATGAGATGATACCAAAAGGTTTGATTATAGTACATCTCAAGGTTTCTAAAAAGTCCAAGAACACCTCCAAAAGTTCAAAATTGAAGAAGTTGGGCATTGTTGAAGTTGGGCATTTTTCCAAATTTGGCAAAAGTCAACTATCCTCAAAACTCCAATTTTTGACAAAAAGGTCCACTTTTTTCCACTTGATATAGTCTTGTCATGCCACACACGTGTTTCATCTTTAATTTCATGACCAAACATTTATTTTTCTATTTTATTTCATTTTTATTGATTTAATTCATTATTAATCAATATTAAATCAAATAAAATCTAAAAATTGATGTAAGGGGATTCTTGTGATCATTACAGCTTGCAAATATCATGTGCAACTCAATCAAACTCGTGCCAAGTCAAAACATGCACAAAATCTCAGATTTGATGCAATTTTGGAAAGCTTATCAATGGTGATCAAACAAATCTTCCATCTTCAATGCATAAGGATTATGGCCCATATTTTGACCTAAATTCATTCTATCATATGCACACAAGCAAGCGAGACCTAGCACATGCATAGAACACACATAGAACACTGCTGAAACGGCCAGAGCAAGTTGGTGAAAAAGCTTGAAAAGTGTGACATCAAAAACAACATTGGAGCACGATTCAGTCAAAAAGCTTGACGTAGCTCTCTTCCTTGGCATCTCCTGAAACTGTAGCAACCAGAACCAAGCCTTTTCATTGACTAAAACTCACTGTAAGTCTCCACGAACCTTGCTCTGAACATGGTGTCGTGAATCGTCTCTCTTGTATCTTTTTGCCATTTTTTTTGTACCATCATACTTGCCATTCAATTTCCATTGATTCTGCAATATTTGATTTTATTTTCGTGGCTTCTAACCCCGTATCCAGAACCTAGGGTTCTTGTTCTTGTTTTTAGGCGTTTTTCATGCAGGTTAAATTAAGGCTAATGATGGGTATATGAATGATCAGGGGAGAGAGACGAACACATCGATGTTCTCCATTTGCATTTAGATGGCATGTAACTCATGTTTGGATGGCCCCTGCGAATTTTGCTACGGACTCAAATCCGCAGGAAATAAACCAGGGTTATTTGAAGAAGACAATGGTGTATCCCTTTGCCATTGGTCTATTCAAATCAGTAGCGCTCTTTTTTTTATTTTTAGGCTTAGCGTTTTGTTTTCTATATTATATTTATTTTCTATTCCCATAACAACTAAGCAAGCTGGTTGGAGTGGTTGAGCGCGCAGGCAATGAGCATTGGGACCTGGGTTCGAATCCCAGGTCCCCCAAAACTTTGTTATAATTTTGTTTCAGATGTTCCTATGCAAGGCAAAAAGGTGGATCACCATATTCTTCATTCCATCAAGTGCCAAGTGGCCCACCAGGCAGATCTATTGGCCAAAGTTGAAGGACCACCATGCTCCTTGGTCAACAAGCACGCGTTGGATGTTTTGGGCCAAACAATTGCTCTTCACACCCTGGATTTGGGGCCCAAACCCCCCATTTGGTTTATTTCTTTTCTTTCTTTTATTTGATTATTTGTTTTATATTATTATTTTTATTATTTAAACCACTGACTAATTAAAATCATTTTCTTCCAATAAAATCAAAACCACAAAAAAAAATATTATTTTTATTAATTTCATTATTATTTTATTTTTGTAAATAAACAATTAATTAATTTATTTAGTTTTAAATAGGCTCAATTTTAACATCTTTTGCTTTAAATTAAAATTAATTTAGAATTAGGTTTTTAATACTTTTAACCTTTTTATTTTTACTTCCTTAATTAAAATAAAACCCAAAAATATTTTCATTTAATTAATTAATTCAATTATTAATTTAGGCTAATTTTTAATTCAAAACAACAAAAATATGCTTTATTTAATAAAAAGGGTCAAAACCCTAAAAACACTCCGATTTAAATTTCTCGCGCGCGAATAATTTTTGATTCATATTTCAATATTGCAACTGCTTCGGGAATGTAATAGTTTTAATTAGGATTTTATTTATCGCTTTTATTTACTTTTCGCAATTTAATTTTAAAGGGTTTGTCTTTGGCGATGTAAATACCCGACACCTTGTAATAGCTTAGATTTATTTTCCGCAATTTAATTTCCGCAACCATTAACTGTTAGATGTTTGAATAATAGGCAATGCATGCAAGATCAATTTTAGTTTAAAATCAACAGTAGCTCACCATTAACATGTACAAAGATAATATA